TTAAACCATTTGTTGCGTTGCGTTGTGTTTTTGCCCCTAAAAACAATCTGACTGTTCTTTTCTTTCTTCTCTCATGTGTGTTGCGTTTTTGCCCCTCCAAAAGATAGTGTTCTTTTCTTTCTTCCCTCTTCTCTGTGTGTGTATATATGTGTGTGTGTATATATATATGTGTGTGTGGGGGGTTTTTAACAAGAATAACCTTATTTATTATTGATAAGGCAGAGACTATCATCTATGGTGGTTAAAGACTCTGGTTGTGTTAGGAGAATGATACTCACGTGGGATCTGCCTGATTCCTTCATACGGCCGCCGGTAGAGCCTCTAGACTGATACCACGGTGCGGCTACTGCGTCGCCGCTTGGAATCGGATGATCTTTGAGACTTTGGCTTAGACTTCTTCAATTTAGGAAACCCTAGACTGAATACGTCTTGATCCATCTGTAAGGCCTTATGGGCTGTTTAATTTATGGGTTGGCCCATTGGTTGAGGCTTTGGCCTGCTGTAAATTCTTTCTTTTAATAAAATACATTTACCTTCCAAAAAAAAAAACATATTTTTTACTCTTCGTTTATAAGTTAAAACAATTATGTATTTTTGTATTCATAGAAAATATTTTCTTCAGTTTTATTTTATTTTATTTTTTATTTTTCCCTCTCTGTTTTTTTCGAGTTTATATTGCCAGTCAGAAACACTCTGATATCGCCCAGGAAACACTATGGGCCACTTTTTGTCCATTAAAATAATAATTTAGACAAGGTTATTTTTGGGCATTGGGCTTTGTACATTATTTTACCATCATCAATATAACAAAATATATACAAATCTGTTACAATAAAATACACAATAGTTTATAACTTTACATGTATATTTATTTATTAATATTAATTCTTGTTTTTAAAAAATATAAATGACAATGATCAAAAGATAAAGACTTATTTGCTTTGACTTTTTAAAGTGGACAAATAATATTGTCTAAAATAATAAAAGATTTTTTTCCATAATTAAATCTCATAAATCCATTAAAAAAGGTAAATAAATACTTATGCCTTTTTTATATAACTTCCATATAAAAAATATTGAAAGCAAACTAATTTCATATTAATTACTAATCATGTTTGAGGTTTATAAATATTCTAAAAAATATTATATACATTATATTTAAATTAATGAACTTTTTATCTCATATTTAAAGCTCGGTAGCTGACATACTCACTTATTACTATATAATTTTGTTATTACTCATTAATCATGTTTAAGGGTATAAATATCCTACAAAAAAAAAAATTAAATTTATATTACTTAAGTTTCTTTTCTATTTAAATCTCACATACCCAATTATTAGTAAGATAATTATATAAATAATTACACATTAAATTATTTATTTTATTTACAAAAACATTAGAATAAAATTAAGTATTTAACTAAAAAAAAAAACTTATATTTAAACATTTAACTATATAATTCAACACATGGAATTAAGAAGGTTACACTTAGTAATTAAACACATTGAATTATATTTGTCCTAATTAAACACATTGAATTAAGAAATCTAAAACTAATATTGTCTAAAACAATAAAAGGTTTTTTCCATAATTAAATCTCACAAATCCATTAAAAAAGGTAAATAGATACTTATGCCTTTTTTATATAACTTCCATATAAAAAATATTGAGAGTAAACTAATTTCACATTAATTACTAATCATATTTGAGGTTTATAAATATTCTAAAAAATATTATATACATTATTTTTAAATTAATTAACTTTTTATCCCATATTTAAAGCTTGGTAGCTTACACACTCACTTATTACTATACAATTTTCTTATTACTCATTAATCATGTTTAAGGGTGTAAATATCCTAAAAAAAAAAAAAAAAAAAAAAAAAAAAAAAAAAAATTAATCTATATTACTTAAGTTTTTTTTCTATTTAAATCTCACATACCCAATTATTAGTAAGATAATTATATAAATAATTACACATTAAATTATTTATTTTATTTACAAAAATATTAGAATAAAATTAAGTATTTAACTTAAAAAAAAAAGGAAGCTTATATTTAAACATTTAACTATATAATTCAACACATTGAATTATATTTGTCCTAATTAAACACATTGAATTAAGGAGGCTATAATAGTATAGTAATCCTACACGACTATATAATTAAATAGATGAAATTAAGGAGACTATACTAGTATAGTGATCCTATATAACTATATAATTAAACACATGGAATTAAAAATCTCACACTAGTTTAGTGATCCATATATAACTATATGGTTAAACACATTGAATTAAGGAGGCTAAAATAGTATAGTAATCCTATATGACTATATAATTAAAGACATGGAATTAAAAATCACACACTAGTATAATTATTTATATATAACAATACAATCAAACACATTGAATTAAGGAGGCTATACTAATATAGTGATCCTATATAACTATATAATTAAACACATGGAATTAAAAGTTAACTAACGAGACTATAGTGATCACTGATCAATTGATAACTGTATAATAATTGAACTCACGAGACTATAATAATCATTATTTTACTATTGAGACTATAGTAATGAATAGATAAGTATATAAAAATTGAACTTATGAGAATAATTGCTTACATTATAGGTAAAGAAATAAAATATTTTTTACTAAAGTACTGTTGCTAATTTTATACACTAATTTTGTGACTTCACATCATCATTTAATTTAGAATAGCTTACATTATCTATAGGTAAAGAATTAAAATATTTATTATTAAATTAATGTTGCCAATTCTATACATTAATTTTGACTTCACATTAATTAAGAATAGCTTACATTATTTATAGGTAAAGAATTAAAATATTAATTATTAAATTAATGTTACTAATTCTATACATTAATTTTGACTTCACATTATCACAGTTTCAACAGGTACGAAAATTTTTTAATTTTTAAGTTCTTATGTCAGCCTTGGAAATACCACGCCTCCAAAACACATGCCCTTACAGTAAGCAAGAAGTATAAAATTTTTAACTTAATATATAATATTAGATTTTATATCAATCAAAAGGCTGGGGGTGATGGCTTAGTCAGTCATTAAATGCTACTGTGGCGTTTTGTGGCTCAAAGCAATGCACCGTTCTTACACGCCACCTGCGCCATTTTCATCTTCTCTGTCTCTTCTTCCTGCACCTGCGCCATTTTCATCTTCACTCCCTGTTCTTCTTGCACCTGCGCCATGTTGCTCCATCTCTGATCTCCAAGACTGCAACACAAACAACCCTTGAATAGGTATATATATCTTCTCTCCCTTTCTCTCTTCGTATGATTATACAACTGTATCAACCCATACTTGTATAATCTTATTTTATGCACCTCCAATAAATAATTTTAATTCTTTTAAGTTTTCAGAATATTTTTTGATAATTTTATTCTTTTAAATTTTATTATGTTCATTATAATTTATAACAATAGGTATATATAAATTTTCTCTCTCTCTCTCTCTCATGGCAGAATTAGTAAGACAGAAAAGAAGAGGAAGAAGTCAGAATCAATTGTCTGCCAGAAGTCAGAAAACCGAAAGCCACCTTTTAGTAACTTGGGAAGGCGCCAGTTAGAATCAATTGTCTCTGCCAAGAATATAGTAACCGTACGTACTATTTCCTTTATGCATTCATTGATTATACAATTGAATTAATTGATACAACTGATACTGGAATAAATTTATTCTTTTAAGTTTTGAGAATTTTTTTTGATAATTTATTCTTTTAAGTTTGATTATGTTCATTAAATATATCATGCATTTATATATACACTTGTGCTTTAGAGTTAGGATACAATGTTCTCTCCATCTCAACAATCTATCAAAGGGAAATGAAAGACAAACCTGCGACCATCAAAAGCTCTGGGGTCAGAATTTGATGAAAAACCATTATGGAATCATGTAAAGGTTCTTAGCCTACCAGTACGTGGAGGTGGAAACAGAACCTGGTCTTGCAATTACTGCAACAAAAAGGTTACTGGATCCTATTCAAAAGTGAAGGGTCATTTATTGAAGATTACTAATCAAGGGGTTGAAGCTTGCAAGTCTATCAATAATGATGTATTTCAAGCATTAAAGAAGGAACATGGCCATTCTGAAAGCAAAAAAGCTCAAGAAGAATTGAATGTGAGAAAGAAGGAAGATTATTTGTCCTTGCCTGAAGGATCAGATTTGTTGCAATGCAAAAAAAGAAGGGCATTAGCTCCAGGAGTGCTGGAAAATGCATTTAATGTAGCACAAAGAGATGTGGCAGATAAGCAAGCTGCTCGCATGTTCTATGCGTCTGGTTTGTCCTTCAACTTGGCAAGGTGCCCTCACTTCAGAAAATATTCACTCATATTAGCCAACAGCAAGTTGTCTGGCTATACTCCTCCAACATTCGATAGATTACGAACAACATTGCTAGCCCAAGAGAAAGCACATGTGAATCGTAAGCTCCAACCGATAAAAGATACTTGGAAAAAGAAAGCCATGTCCCTTTGTTCTGATGGGTGGTCGGATAGACAACGAAGGCCACTGATAAGCATAATGGCTGCATCAGTAGGTGGTGCAATGTTCTTAAAGGCAGTTGATGCAAGTGGCAACATAAAGGATGCTGATTATGTAGCAAATCTGTTCAAACCCGTGATCTAAGAAGTAGGTTCACAAAATGTTGTTCAAGTGATTCCTGATAATGGAAGTAACTTCAAAGCTGCTGCGGCCATAATTGAAGGTATATATCCTTACATATTTTGGACTCCATGTGTTGTGCATTGCCTAAATTTAGCTTTAAAAAGTATTTGTGAACCATCTGAAAATTCACCTCAATTTGCTGAATGTAAATGGATTGCTGATTTGGTGAGTAGTGTACAAAATATAAGAAATTTCATTGTTAACCATGGCATGGTACTTTCAATTTTCAACAATTACTCGGAATTGGGTTTGCTAAGAGTAGCGGAAACAAGATTTGCATCAAGCATTATTATGGCAAAATGCATGAGGGAAGTGAAGGATGCACTTGAGAAGATGGTGATGGATCCAAGTTGGAGAATGCATCTAAAATGGGATGGAAAATCAGCAATTGGAATCAAGGCTAGGGAAGTTAAAATTTCCATTGTGAGTGATAGTTGGTGGGCTGATTTGGAATATCTCTTGGATTTTACTGAGCCTATTGTTGAATTTCTAAGGTTAGCAGACACTAATGCTCCTGTTCTCCATTTGATTTATGATATGTGGGACACAATGATTGAGAAAGTTAAATCTAGAATATTTGGACATGAAAAACAAGATCTGCTCACTGGCCAATCTAATTTCTTTGATGTCATTCACAATATTTTGGAGACACGATGGAATAAAAGCAACAATCCACTGCATTGTATGGCTCATTCATTGGTTCCTAAATACTATACTGAAGCTTGGATTGGAGGTGGAAGTGATGGAGTTCCACGGCTCTCACCACATGAAGATTAAGAGGTCTCTTTAAATAGAAGCAAATGTTTGAAACGATTGTTTAGCAATCAAGATGATCTTCGAAAAGTTTATATCGAATATGGAGCTTTTTCAAGTGGATCTGGTTACTTTAATGAGCCTCATGTTATTGATGCAAAATTGTATGAGGAACCAATTTCATGGTGGGCTAATCATGGTGCTTCAACACCAATGTTACAAACTTTAGCATTCAAGTTGCTTTCACAGCCCGCATCATCATCTTGTTGCGAAAGAAATTGGAGTACATATTCTCTTATTCAAAGCATCAAAAGAAACAGATTGACTACAAGTAGAGCTGAGGATTTGGTCTTTGTACATTGCAACCTCCGTCTCTTGTCAAGAAAAAAGAAAGAATACAAGGAAGGGCCAACAAAGTATTGGGACTTGTGTAAGTTCATTAACTTACTTTTAAATTTAAATATCTCCAACAGGACTTTCATAGATATTCTTTTACTACATTTTTAGTTTTTTTTTACATCACTATTAATTTATTTTGTTTAATAGGTGGTGATAAGTTTGATATTGATGGTAATACTCTTGGGGAACTTGTGGAGCTTTCCATCAATGAGCCTGAGTTAGAGCTTATGACATTTGATGAAGAGTTTGAAGAGAGTACTACCTTAGGGAGTGAAGCAACTGAAGAATTCCAACAAGGAATGATGGATTGAAGAAATGAGGCAAAAGATGAACTATATCTACCTTTTGGCTTTTGTTTTTCTTATGTTTATCTCTTTATATGAATTATGATATAACTTTTGCCTTTTGTTTTAAATTTTTGGAATGTTGCCTTGTAAGTTGTTACCTTGTTTAGTTGCTGGTACTTGCTTACTTGGTAGTTGGTGGCACTTAGCAGTTGGTATTGTTGCTATTGCCTATTGGTAATCTGTTAGTGTATGACTTTATGATATGAATGATATAAATTATAATTATGGACCTTATGGTTTAAAGTTTAAAGTCTTTGAGTTCATTATGAAATTCTAAACTCTAAAGTCCTAAGAATCCTAAGTTTCTAACATCTCTGTCTTTAATCTTTATACAGTTCTACTCAACAATTTTGTATTTGTTTATTTTTTTCTATTTTTTCATAAGTTCAATAGTTCATAACAATATGTTAATGTCAATACAACATAAATTTCAAATAATATTTCAGCCTTTTCAGGTGCAAACTTTTGAAGTGCAGAGTCTGACTGTGGACCTGTGGTGTTGTATTTGTATGCTGTGTGACTGAAGAGTGAAGGCTGAAATCCGAATCTATGTCGTACAAGTGTGAGAATTCAGTCAATTGACTCAATTCAATAAGGTACTTATTTAGTTATTTAACAATTGTGAATTAACATCATCTCTTACTTATCTAAGTTATCTTGTTTGTTGCTGCCCCTTATGCCATACGTAGTTGCCTATATGATTAAATCTATCAAACTATCACTAATATGATTTTTCATTTTTTAATATTTTGTATGCCGTGTCCAAGTACCCGTGTCCGAATTTTGGACACTTTTATTCCGTGTCCCCGTGTCCTATAATTGAATAGATTGGTGGATCCGACCTCTAGACACGTACCCGTGTCCGACACCCGTACCCGAGTCCGGGTAACATAGTATGGGAGTTTAACCAACCATAGCCACCTGCGCCCAGTAATAATAAAGAAGTGACGTACAGATGGAACTTGCCTTCGTTCACTTTCTGTGTACTTTCCTTGATTGGCACACAGTAAATTTTTCCATCACTTTATAATTTTAAGTCTCCGTTTGTTTGAACGTAAAATATATATATATATATATATTAAGTCTCCGTTTGTTTGAACGTAAAATATATATATATATATATATATATATATATATATATATATATATATATTTTCTTGTGGTATTTGATTGTCGTAAAATATTTACGAAAAAAAAAATATTAAAATTTAACAAAAATAATTTATCCTTAAATTTTTGATAAATTATTTTACATGTCACACCCGATGGACTCGATCTCAACCTCGACGTAAATCTTTGTTAAACACCGACAAAGTAAAAATAAAATAATATTTTACCTGAAAAAAAAATACTAATATTTTTCAAAAAGAATATTTTATATCGAAATAAACGGAACCTGAGTGTAATATTTAGATTTATGTTTTATTATTATTATTATTTTATAATTTTATTTTGGGTGTGTTTGTGAGATTGAGGTGCTTTGATGTTACAGAACAAAAATAACTTCAAGAAATACTGCAAAAATACTTCAATTGTTGAAAGTACTCATCTTTCCTGTTGACGTTGAGCATATTTTCCGGTTTAAATTGATACACATCCCCAAGTACATATTACCTGACAAATTTATACTCCCTCCGTCCCCATAAAAAGTGTAACTTTTAGGAAATCATACTCTCACAAATTGAACTGACACGGTTCCCGAACTATGACATTATTTTTGGGACGGAGGTAGTATCACCATGACACCCCACTTAACATTGGACTGTGCCAGGATATAATTATCACTACCAAGCTAATTGGACACAAGAACATTACTTGAATTATCAGAATGACGTAAGAAAATATGGAGGATAATCATTCTCAACAGTATTGATGGAAGAATTAAAAAAGATTGGAATGAGCTAGAGAGAGAAAACTCTGAAAAGATTTATGAGAAAAGTGCACCTGATGCCATGAAAAATTGTGAATTTTCTCTCGCGTTGTTTCATTTACAACATAACAGTATATAAAACTAAATTTATAAATCAATTCCCTAAATTAAATGGACTCATATCTCAAATCTTTTATTTTTTAGTTGATCAAATTACCCTCAATTGGTCCTCATGAGCAATGACAATTAATTTTTAAGTTTGGTTACTTCCTTCATTGTAAAGTAAAATTTTTAAATTTTAATTGATCAGCAAAATCTAATTTTCCTTAAAAGAAGTATTAAAAAAAAAAACTTGTTGGACTAAGTCTCCAAGAATGCAGATTGAAACTCATAAATTAAATAAGTCCGCAAGATTATTTAAATGAAAATAACATAAGACCAAGAGTTCGTTCCATGGGTTAAATTTCAGCAATTAATTATAGAAAGTGATCATTATAAATGAAAGAAGAACCATTTATATTCATTTATATACAAAAGAAATCGCAAGTTGTTTTTTTTTTTTTTCTTTCTACTTGACCAATATAAATTAGGTGCTTAAGTCATTTGAATCTGACCACCAGAAGTTGGAGCGCTCTCTGGAGTTGGCCCAATTTTCCCCATTTTCCTTTTCAATAAATATAGTAGAAAGCAAATGGTGGAAGTGGCTGCATAGATTACATAGAGGCCTAAGAAGTCCTCAATGGTCAAGCTATCATTTTCTTCGATAGTTTGGGACTTCAAACACTCCGAGGAGGGAGTAAACAACTGTTTCTCTAATTCTTTTATCTTTCCATTTTCTGATAGTTTAAGAATGGCTCTAGAAACATTAGCAGCTAATGTAGAACCTTTTTGAAAGACCTGCACAGAAAGCATGAACAATAATTTAATTACAATCAGTTATCCCAAATGTATTAACGGAATTGTGATATATATATATATATATATATATATATATATATATATATGTAGTATAGCTGAAAAAATAAAAAATTGTCTGAAGTATGTTTTGTTTTTTTTGGTGTAGCAAATAACTTGGAGATATTAGAGAATGAAATGAGTGGAAAGAGTTCCATTCACTACTACTCACGAAGCCTAATCCTCCAAATCTTCTGGTGAATGATCCATCGCCATACGCGTACGGCTTGCAGTGTTTGTTGACAAAAACTTTGGCATGAGGAACTTCAAGAACTGCTGCTTGAATCCTGCCATTCTTGAATGCAGTCTGGAACTCGCTTTCGCTGCCGATGTCGATGATGTTACCTGGTTCAGAAAGCTCATCATCCTCCAAGTACTTCCTAACAAATGCAGCACCATCGCACCCCACTATTGCATTTGTTGTCTTTATCCACTCGATATCTCTCACAGGTGACTGGAGTCTTGAGAAGGTGAGCATTGAAGTGAGGCTCGCAGCGTAGCTTTCTATTAAGATCAACACCACAAAAAGCCACACCACGATCACGGTTCGAGTATAGTTGCTTTTAATCTTCTCCCCTTCAAAATCAAAAATAAAATTTTATTCGTATATATCCATGTAAGTAGAAAATTATTGGGATTTCATTTTTTTTGCGTATATGCAATTATATTTATAAGTATTTACCTCCTAATTGGGCTAATGGAAGCATCATGAAGTCTATTTTATTTGAAATCTCTCCAAATTGGGGCATGCTATTGGATATTTATGTTCTTAATTATTAAATAATAATAATACTTCTCACTACTGATGTGAAATATTATAAAATAATGACATGTGTCCATTTTAATTTAAAATATCTAAAGAAAAAAATACAAAGGAAAGCATTTATTACAAATAGTTCCTCATAACCCTGCCTCCAAAAAGCCTCCTAGTGAGCATTTAAGGGTGTGTGAGAGAATTTACCTAAATTGAAAAAAAAGTTAAAAACTTTTTTTTTTTTTTTTTGGGAAAGTAAAAAAAAATTAAAAACTTAGCTTGCCTCCAAATCTAAGCATAAATAAAATGGTACTGTTAATTCTGTGATTGCTGTTTAACTTGATAATATACTTACTGTGAGCAAAGAACAGAGTAGAGAAGGTGAACCAAAGCACATTGCCAAGTTGTTCCTTCCATGGGCCACTAAATTCTGGATTGGAACGTTGCTCCAAGAACCAAACTATGAACATTGTGTAGAAGAAGATTGCCCCCGTCGCCACCCACATTTTCATGGTGAAAGGCTTCAGAAACAACCATGCTTTTGAAGTTCTTGGCTTCACTGGAACTACTATAAGCAAACCTGACTCGATAAAAGGTACTGTAAATTCCACTTGGTCCCAACGCTCAGTTGTTATCGTTATGTCACCAACAGCAGCATCAAAAGTCTTCCATCAAATTTTATCGACAAGTAGAAAACCCACATATCAGCAACATATATATAGTTGGAAGAGCAGGAAAAAAATTTGAATTGAGAATATTAAAAATATATATATATATATATATATATGATCTTTCATCCAGATACGTTGTAATACATTCAAAATCAAATAAGGATTTCTCATCACCCCAACAAAGTCACATTTGGATGGTCAGGTTAGAACTAATAAAGGTGTAACTCGTACTAAACTTGAAACTAAATGGCTAACTAATTAATTAAATTGACAGATGTTTGAAAATGATCAAGAGATCAGGTGATGTGTGATTACCTCGTTATGAACCGATTCAACCAAATCATTGTAGCTTCCATTGTACTGGTGAAATTCTGTAGTAGACGGTAGACTATAAATATGATCGTCCTCCAAAATCTTTTTCACCTCCTCATAAACACTGATACAAAAACCAGTAAACCTCTTCTTATCTGGGCTAAGGAATTCCTTAAAAGAGACTATACCAGGAACTGCAATATTCATTGGTCTTGCATAAAGATCAGCTAGTATCACCCCTTCTCTCAGGATTCGCTTTGGGTCCCCAGGCCTTAACACCTCCGCGAAACCAGCCAATTTTTTCATGGTACTAGGGCTATCTGAGAACCCCAACTCTGATGACCAAAAGCCAAGGTTATTGTTTTCCTGATTGCCAATGTTCACTATACTAAATTTTTGGTAGCTTGAAAGTCTTCCCTCTTCAAATCGCAATTCTCCACTTAAACCTGTGAAGTTGCTTGATAAAATACTTTCCAACATTTTTGAGGAATTCATTTTACCAGCTGATTTCACTATCGCCTGTGTAATAGTCATAATGCTATCACAAGCTCGTAGCGCATGAATTCCAGGCTCAGTGTTATCTTCCTCAGGATAATCTAATTGGAAATTTTGCTGAAACTGCTCATGAAAGTGTTTGAAAGAACTGCTATTTTCAGATAGTAGGGGTTGATTCCAAGAGTACGTTCCATGGCAGAGACAACAGGAGGGCTGACAGAATTCAGAAGGCTTCTGGTGGTGTCTGCAATTATCCACACCGAGTCTATTCGCATAAAGCTCATCTTCTTCGCTTCACTGAACAAAAGATTTGTTAGCAGTAATGATGACTGTAGAAAAATAAACACCCTAGATTTTGTGGTGTTTTCTAACTTAGACAGCTCCTTATTTATGGACTGCTGAGGATTTGATAGATCAGAAAATGGTGGAAGCACCAGATGATAGTCTATATCCGAGCCAACATTTTTAAGGGCCTTGGATAACAGGGTTAGCTTCCTGGAATCACTTCCATGGATGTCTTCTTCATAGATAGCTACAACACTTCGCCAATTGAAGGATTGAAAAATAGCTGCAATGCAATTAATTTGTGTTGGGAAACGTGCTAGTTTTAAAAACTTTTCAAGGGATTTTAATTCATAGATCTTGATTCATTACATAGAGACAAGTTTTATACAAAAATAAAACATGATGTACCATTCAATTAAAAGATTGAATACTTACATCAAGGTTTGAGTAAACCTTATATCTCTCCTCTAAAGTGAATGTTCTCACTTATTGTAGATCCCTTTTGCTAGACACCTTTTCCATAGATCTTTATCTCCATCTTCTTGGTAATGGTCTTGCCTTTAGGAATCACTCATAAGCCTTCATGAATGACCTTGGAAAACTAGGCTTGTGGGAGCCTCCATTAGATGAGAATATAAACCCTAATTTTCTAGAGAGAGAAAATAAATTCCTTTTTCCTTCTCATTAAAAATCACTCCCTAAAATATACATAGACCATGTATATTTATAGGCAACATAAAAATAAAGAAAAGGAAACAACAAATCCTTCTCCATCTCTAATTCATATATCTCAAATCTAATATGATTCCAATATCAAGTTGGGCTATGAGTGAGAATCCATTGGGCCTATTATTTTATTGGCTACAATGAATTAATAATTGGCCCGGTCCATGGACCCAATTCAATTAATTCATAAATTAATTTCTACTCCACTAAAAGAAATTAATTGAACTCCAATTAAATAATAAATAACCTCTAAGTCAATATTGCACTTTGACTCCTCTATGCATAATTAGTTATCGGATAAATATAGCCATCAATCTGACTACTTAATTAATATATTTATTTTGGTACCTTTGATTATTTCTGGCTTGATCACAATAAAACATTTGTTTGACAAAAATAATAATTTAATAAATAAATATATAATAAATCATTTTGTCTAAAATCATACGAAGGCCTTCGAATTTACTTTGTGATCAACCATAATCAATACAAAATAAATACAAGTAGCAATGATGCAAATATTGAAAATATAACCCTCTAACTATTAATTACATAACTACCCGAAGTATCGGTCTAAGGATCCCGAAGAATCCGCCGAACAAATCAAAGTAATTATTAATTAATAAAAGAGTCTATACTTTTCTCATGCTTAAGAGTCAAATGCCATGACGGTGATAGGGAGTAATTGCATACGACGGCTCTCGCAATATATCTCAACCTAACGCGGATCCAGTTCAAGTCTTAATTAATTATGAGTCCATCCATAATTACCGACTATGAACAATTTATAATTACTATTTATATATCATGCATTGATTGCCATCACATACATATACATAAATATTTCTTGTAATTACATGGACACTATCAATTTCATAGTGAATCGAAATATAATACATTGAATTCACCAATTGTATAAAACATAAATATTTCAGAAACGTCAGGAACATATGTCAATTAATCCAAACAGGAATTTGCTATGCTAGGGCATATAAATCCCAACAGCTCCCACTTGCCCTCATAGCCAATTCAAATTGCACCTAACTCCAATGTTATCCAGATGATGATCAAAATTATTGATCAATGACACCTTTGATAATGGATCAACAAAGTTGTGTTCCAATGCAATGTTCTAGCTACAAGTACATTTTCTTGCCGGATAATATCATGTAGAACATGATACTTCCTATCAGTGTATTTTGTTCATCTATGGAACCTTGGGTCATTGGTTTGGACTACTTCTGCACTATTGTCGCAATATAGCTCGATAGGCAGGCTAGTATGCTCCACAACCTCTAAATCAGTGAGATCAAACCAATAGGCTTATATTGCCACCTTTAAGGCTGCAATATATTCCACCTGCAGGTTTGAGTCAACAGTTGAAATCTGCTTGACAATCTACCAACTGATTTCCCTTCCATTAAGTGAACATACACTAAGTCATGAACCTCATAGTATCTACTTCTGATTGAAAATCAGAACTAGCATACCTGACTAGGACCATATCATCACATCCATAAATGAGTATGATATCATTGATTCTCCTTAGGTACTTAATGATATTTTTCACAATAGACCAGTTGTCAAGTCCAGTATTGGACTGATCTCTACTGACTATCCCTACTATGTAGCGGATGTCCTGTTTGGTATAGACCATGGCATATATGAGACTCTCATATGCCGAAACATATTGTTCCAGTCTCATTTGCTCAATCTCCTCTGCTAGTCTTGAAAAACTACTTACTAGAGAGAGCGATCCATATCAATAAAGCAAGAACTCATTCTTTGAGTTATCCATACCAAACCTGGTCAAAACTTTATCAATGTAGGATTATTAAGATAAGCCTATTTTCCTTTTAACCTGATCTTGCAAAAGCTTGATCCTAGGAATATAGCTTACATCTTGAAAATCCTTCATTTAAAAGTAATTGAACAACTACCTTTTAATTGATGACAAAACTTCCACGTCATTATAAATGAGTAGGATGTCATCAATATATAGAATTAAGAAAAATAATGACATTCCCTTGTACACTCATGATTTATTCACTAAGAAATCTTCTGGTATCTTTTTGTAGATTAACTTGCCTTCCATAGGAATCACCCTACTAGAAAGTTCTACAAGATCCCAGAATTTATTAGAATACATAGATTCCAACTCTGATTTCATAGTAACTCACCAAAACGATCTGTATCCACATCGGTTCACGCTTCCGTGTAGCTTACTGGGTCCAACTCATGTTTAACAGGGATGTCCATAATGGTCTCACCTAAAAACATGATTCTGTCGAATTGGATGATAATCCTCCCACTACATCAATGTACCGATGCAAGAATCTGTGTAGTAGATGATGCTAACGCATCAATAGAGAATTCATATATTATTCTCAATCTCTATAATAAGTGTGTTCACATGTGGTACATCTGGTACTCATACCAAATTCTCTAACATTATGCTACTAGGTATGTGATTCATAATATGATTCTCCTATAGATAAACAGTGAGTGAAAACAATCAACTTTTATCTTTGAGATCATAAAATAATCCATCCTAGTGACATTTAGAGTAGCTATCAAAACTAGCATGCCTATGATCTGATTCCAACTTACTTGTCCATATCAAACGCACGTGTGCAAGACTACCCCATATGTGCATATGATTCAAACTAATATTTAGTCAAAAACACAGCTCAACGGTATCCTTGAGACAGACTAAGATGGAATGCAGTTCATAATGCGCATCGATGTCATTAACGCTAAACTCTTAAATGAAAGAGATAATGTGGCATTACTGATCATAGATCTAACCATGTTAAGTGGAATTCTGTTATTCCTATTTGACACCTAAATTAATTTAGCGTCAATTGCGGAAAACTGGTACACAACACCCTCATTGACCATATAGTCTTTGCACTATCCCAAGAAATTCTCAAATACTCGATCAGATCGAAGTGTCTTGATAAGTTTACCTAATCTGTGCTCCACATCAGTCTTAACCCTCTCGGAATATACCAAAAGTATAAGACTTGTGTCGCAACAGGTAAATTTATCCAAAACGTAAGTAATCTTGATTGGATGTTCATAAGACTACACGTGTACGTGTGTACCGACTCCAATTGTTCTTTATGTCTATTTCATTTGGCTGATTAAGCCCTTAGAGTTATCTATCCTTCAAAACAAGATTCACAAGTTTGGTTTAGGCTCCTCTGCCTCACTAGGTAATAAACCTTCTTTAACCAATCTTTAAATCTCATTTTGATTGATTACAACCCAAAAATAGACACCAAAAATACAATGAGTCAGGAATAACAAATTTTCTCTTAACATTCAATCTAGAAGATGCAACATTAGTTTCTACATCCTGCAAATCTTAAGAGCTTGTGATTATAGTATATTAACCATCTTTCAATACACCAGAAGCAATCACATATCTATTCAATTTTATAAAACCAGTTTTACAAAATAACGATCTAGTTTTTATAAGCCAAAAGTGAAATAAGAATGAGATTGCGTTTCACTTCTGTGCATAAAGATAGTTCTCTAATACTAATATCCTCATACTCTCTAATTTCAGATGTAATACTCCCACTGACTTAACTACAACCTTGGCATCATGTTAAAAGATAAATATATATCCATATCATCAAGGCTTCTGGATTCTTGAAATCCTCACAATAAATTGTAAACATGTTTAGTGGCTCCAGAATCTATCCATCAGGAATTAATAGATACAACCACATAACATGGCTCAATGATTAAATATATATTTTCCTATGCCACGTCATTACTTAGACAGTTTGTCCTTTAGTGTTTTAGTTAACGGCAAAAGAAACAGTTTCATTCGCCCTCAACATACACTGCCTTATTCCCTTTAACCTTTTAGATACCTATGTTTTGTACTAGCCTAGTCCTATTATCATCCTTCTTCTTTGCTTTGCCCATCCACTTGGGCCTAGAAGAAGATGGTATAGACTAGGTTAGATTGATAGGAACGCCCATACTCTTGATTATCCCTTCATCTGTTACCAATTCTATAAGAATATCAGCGAGTGTGAACTCAAACTGATTTCTTATTTAGTTCACTATAACAGAATCGAACGAGTTTGGTAACAAGACAATAATCATGTCAACTTGAAACTTACCACCCAAGTCAGCCCTAT